TGGGGGAGGGGCAGACAGGAAGACGTCGAATCCGAAGCAGGCTCCAGGCTCCCAGCTGTCAGCACAGAGCCCGACGTGGGACTCGAACCCACAGACCATGAGATCCTGACCTGAGCTGAAGTCGGACGCTTAACGGACTGAGCCACACGGGGGCCCCTGTAGGACTCCTTTTACATAAAGCTCTAGAAACTGCAAACTCATCTATAAAGACAGAAAGCAGATCGCCGGTTGTGTGTGGGGAGAACGATTCCAGCAATGCACACGGAAACTTCTGGGGGTGATATAAGCACTCTCTCGACTGCGGCGAAGGCTTCACGGGCATATATATGGATGCTGAAACTGATCACTCCGCACCACGACGACTGCATCGCAGGGACACGTCAGTACAGCTGCCTGACGAGAACCAAAGGGCGGCTGCACGGCCCGCATCAGCAAACGCTCAGCCACAGGGGGCACATCTGTAGAGGCCGGGGCAGGCATCGAAAATAACGTGCTGAAGGGCGCCCGGGTGACTCAGTCGGTTAAGTGTCCGACTCTTGATTTCAGCTCGGGTCACGATCTCATGGTTTGTGGGATCAAGCCCTGCGTCGGGCTCCGTGCTGACAGTGCAGTGCCTGCTCGGGATTCTCTCTCCCCCTCTTTCTCTGCCCCTACCCCGCTCGTGCTCTCCCCCCTCAAAATAAATTAAGCTTAAAAAAAAAATTAAAAATTACAAGAAAAAATAACAACGTGCTGAGCAGGCAGGGCGGCCACAGGCAGAGCGGCCAGAGACAGTGACTTCCGGCTCTTCTGAGAAAAAGAGAGAATCGAAGCTGAGACCGAGACCTCTGCCCCAAGAGAGAGGATGGTGACTGACACAGAGGTTGGACACGGGAGAGGCAGCAGGCCTGGAGGATAAAGGATGCGTGGGTGGGAGTCAGCAGGACTGTTCTCCCAAAGTGAAGGTACCCTAGGGCACCAGGTACACACATCCTGTCGGGACCATGATACCGGAAGAGCTCAGGAGTCAAGTCAGAAACCGAAGGGTCACTGGTTCACGGTGGAGAACCCCGAGCAGAACCAGTCAGGCTGAGAGCGGACCAGGAGGGGCAGCATCCCGGAGGCGGCCAAAACAACAGAAGCTGCAGGCGTTAACCTCTTCCGACGGGTCTATCGGTCAAGGGAAACGCGGCTCCTCCGCGAGCGCTGGCACGGGCCCCGGCTGGAGGACAAAGGAGCTGGCGGGGAGGGAGAGAAGGCGCTGGGAGGAGAAGAGGATGGAGTGGCTCGAGGGAGTCCCGTGCCTGTCTGCGGTGGCAGGAGGGCAGAAGGAGGCGGGCCAGAAGACAGACACGTGTGCCGATGGGAGGGAAGACACGGTGGAAAGGCTGCTGGGGGAGGGGACGAGAGAGACAAGGGCCGAACAATCCAGGAGAGCCAGCAGCTGAGAAGCAAGCCCGTGGGCTGGCCGAGAGACAGCAGACATCAGCCAGCGGCCCGGAACTCAAGCACCCGAGTCAGGTCCCCTCGCCACTACGCCGGGACGCCTCAGAAACGCAGCCACAATCCAGTCAGCCCCTAAACCCCCTCCCCAGATAACACACAAAAAAGCCACGCCTCCAGCCAAAGCTCGGTGACCTGGCCCTGCGGCCCCTGCCCCCTGCATGGCCACTTCCTCTCTGGCCACCGCCCCAGCCACCACTGAAGGACGTGCGGCTTCCAGCTCCCCTCTGCTTCTGGGCTCACGATGACCAGACCCTGCCCAGGGGCAGGGTCCCAGGGAAAGGCTCTGTGGGTATGACTTCACGGGGTCTGCACACCTGGCGAGGAAGGCCTGCCATTTCCCTTGGAGGTGATGTGACGGTGACCTGCCAAGGTCACCAGCGAGTCCAGAGAAGAGTCACAGCTCGAGCCCGGGCCTTCCGCCTCCAGCCTGGCGTTGTCACCCGAGAGAGCCCAGGGCAGGACTGGGAATCCTCACCTTTGACCAGTCGTAGCTGGAAGCATAGGCAAATATGTTCCCATTGTGATTGAAGCAGCAGGCCGATATGGGCTGATCTAACTGTTCCGAAGTTTTTAGCTTCGTTCTGGCATCTTTGTCCCAAAAGCTGAATCTGCCATCGGATCCCACAGTGGCAAGGGTGCCGTGAACAGGATGGAATGCGATCCCGTTTACCTGAAGGGATTGACACGCACAGTGAGAAGTGGACGACGGAGGAGAAAGCACATCTCTACCAGGACGTGCTTCCTGCTGCACGTACGAAACAAAACGTACAGACTGTCACTTTGTGAGAGCCGGCTGCCTGCTGATCACGGAAGAAACTAGCCATGCTTCCAGAATCAACGACCAGCCCAGAACTGAGTCACGCCTCTTGTTAGGGACACAAGTCAGCAAAAATCAACACATATGCGGCTACTGACACTGCGGAGAGGACCCCACAGGAATGCCTTTTTCTTTCTCAGCAAACAGCAATTTCTGAGTTTTAGCTAAGCGAATCAACTGCCTACCAGCACCCGAAAGGAGGTGGATGGCCCCGAGAGCCCAAAGCGAGAGCCCGAAGCTTGCACCCGAAGCAGCAGGCGGAGAGCAAAGACAGTGTGTGTCATAAAAACAGAAACCCGGGCCCTACAGCAGAAGTCATCTATCTCTGCCTGTGACCCCTAATGACTCAGCCACCCACCTCCAAGTCTAGTTTCTAGACAGGTTCTCAAGGTTAAAGTTTCTAAAAACATACCGCGTAGATGTCCTGAGGAGCTGAGGTATTGGTTCCGTTCGAGCGGTGACATTTGAAGGTGAAGTTGTCTTTGGCACTGAAAAGCAAAGGCCCAACTGAGTTTTCCTTTCTGAAAGAGTCTCCGGTGAAAATTCACAAGCGAATTGAGCCCACTTACGGATTTGGGGGGTTGATGTAGTGAATAGCAACCCTCCCCTCGATACTTCCCAGAGCGAAACCAGTTGGCTTGTTCTGTTTATCTTTGAAAATAGCCACGCATCGATGCTACCGTTTGTGGAGACAGAAAAAGAGAACGTTATCACAATGTAAAAGACAAGATTTCGTAACTAAGTGAAAATAAGTAATTTTCACCCTTTTTGGGTTTCAGAAGAACCAGAAACATATTACACAAATATGACACAGAAGTGACTGCTCGTCCTCCAGTAAACATCACTGTCCACCTTTTGGGAAACCACTTGTACTCGGCCACGTGACTTTGTGGATAAACCGCAGACGGCGTGCTTCCGTCCGGTGCCGCTCGGCCTCTGGCGCCACAAAGGCCTGTCACTCCCGCGGTTCGTGTGACCCTCGGAGCCCCACCACATCCTACCCCGGTGCCACCCCATCGTGGGGCAGGGGGCGCACTCGTGTCTCTGACCCACGGCCCACCACCAGGTGGGCTCCCTGCGGCGACTCACCCAATGCTTCTGAATCCGCTTTCCCAGGCAGAAGAGGGAAACGGCGTCTGCCCGGCAACCACAGGGGAAACCAGGGCCGAGCGGGACAGGGGACGCGACCAGCACTTTCTAACTGTGACCACACTATGCAGAAGCAACACACCGCACCCCATCTAACGCTGGGTCTGGGGACCCAAAGGAGGGTCTCCTGGACTCTATAAAAGACCCCACCAAAGAGCCCGGGACCCAGCCCCCATGGCAGAGGACCAGGGCCTGGGTCTTCGTGCCTCCTTCTATGCTTTCATCTACCTTGAGAGAAGAGCATGCCGGCGAGTGGGGGTGGCGGGGAGGAGCGGGGGAGACAGAGAGAGAGAGAGAGAGACAGAGACAGAGAGACAGAGACAGAGGGAGAGAGAATCCCAAGCAGGCTCCGCGCCGTCAGCACAGAGTCTGACGCGGGGTTCTATCTCACCGACGGTGAGATCGTGACCTGCACCGACATCAAGAGTCAGACGCTTAACCGCCTGAGCCAATCAGGCACCCCGTCACTTCCTCCTTCTAGATGTGACAACCTGGCCTACCCCCGAGAACCACCCACCCGCCCCAAACTGGACATTTCATCTTCCTAGAGGGGTTGGGGAGGCATGAGAGCAGCATCAGAGCCTGGGACGAAGCCATAGAAGAATGATGGTAAAGAGCAGTTTCTGTTGTTGTAACACTTATTAGAGCGCACAAATTTCCTAAGTAAACAGAAAAGCACATGCTAGTTCTATTTCTGTACCGTTTGCCTTTTTTTGAACAGAAAGCCCATTACTTCTGCGAGTAGAAAAAAAACTAATATAAAGAGACAAAATCTGTAAGTTCTTAGAGGTCAGCAGGAACCATGGCTCGTCAAGCTGTGCCTCCCATGCTCAGCGCAGAGCCCAGGAACTGCACACCTCTAGGGGGCACCATCTACAAGAACACAACCACACAGCAGCCCTAGGCAAAGGCTGATGGCGTGCCTCAACAAATGAAAGGCCAGGGTGCCTAGAAGCAGGAAGTAAAGTCAGATCAGACTAGGTTTTGTCAGGGAATCTGGGATTTATCCAAAGGGAAATGAGAAGTCACTGCTGGCTTTTCGGCAGAGGGGTGGCAAAGTCAGACGTGCCACTAGAAGAAAGAGCCCCCCCAACCCACGCGTGGAGAGCAGATCGAAGGAGGGCACAGACAGAACCTCTTACAGTCATTCGAGGAGATTTGGATTAGATGTGGTGGGAGGGAAGGAACAAAATGAACAGATTCTAAAACACCTGCAGAAGTGAACCTGGGGATCAGGGGGACAGGCGGAAAGGAGGGGGAGCAGATCAAGGAGATGCCTTTCCGATTCGCAGTATTGACAACAGCAGGTGGCTCTCATGAGATGCAGAGCACCTGGGGAGGAACACGCTGGGGGTGGGGGGCGGGAGCAGGTGAAGATCGTTGTTTTGCTCAGCAAACATCTACAGAAGCCTTCTACCCGCCAGACCGGGCTGTAGCTGGGAACGAAGCAGCAACAAAGAGAAATCTCTGCTCTTACTGAGTTTACTTTCTAGTGGGCAACACAAAACGAAACACATGAAACACATCACGCGTTTATCTCTAAGGTATATACACACATGCACACACGCAGTTTGGGGGAAAACGGCCAGGGAGAAGCCTGAGGAGAGGTAACACCCAAATAAAGATCTGCAGAAAGTCGTCCCGGGTTTGGTGACGGATACTGTTGGGCGGAGACGTCGGGAGACACGTCAAGGAGCTGTCAGACTGGGGGTGTCTTGCAGGCATCCCGGAGGCGAGGTCTGTGGGGGGTCTGAGTCCCCAGCCCACAAGGTTTACCAAAATGACAGCAGGGACGGGAGAGGAGGTCCTGCTTCAGGAGAGGAGGCAGCGCGGCCAAGGGCAGACACCCGGGGAACCCGACACGCAGCAAGCAGCGGTGAGGAAGACGAAGCAGCAACTGCGAGGCAGGTGGTAAGAGGCTGGTGTTGCGGAGAACAGGGACAGGGCGTTTGAGAACACGTAGGGACAGTGGTGAATGCTGCTGGGCTGACAGAAGAGGACGGCTGGTCAGCGTCCACCGGAATCACTGACGAGGAAGCCCTCGGTGGCCAGCCAAAAGCTGTTTCAGAGGAGTCATGGAGGCAGAAGTCTCAAGGGAGTTGGGTGAGAAGTGAGTGGGAGGTAAGGAAACCAAGAAAGCGCAGGTGCGATGCTTAACTGCAGAGGAAAAAGGGGTCCGGGTGGGACCAAAGGATGTGGGCCAAGAGTGTTTCCTCGGGTGAAGAAGACTAGGGCACATGTCAGGGCCGGTTGTGACATCAGGAGGGGGTGGGAGTCCAGACAACCCCCGCCCTGGAGGAGATGGGGACCACCAGCACGAGGCTCCACAGACCCCCTCCACACGATGGGCCTTCCCAAGGGGCACACGTCCCCCGACTGGCGGGAGAAAGCGGGGGCAAGGTGCAGGCACAGGGAGACTTCTAGGTTCGGCGGGAGGAAGAGAAGCTCCCCACCGCTGGTCCGTATGCTCTCTGAGCAGGAGCCGAATGGATGTGCGGAGACAGAGGTAGGGGAGGGAGGGCCTAGGAGTTCAAGTGAAGAAAATCTAAGAGTCTGTGGCAGGTGAGCTGACGAGAAAAACCCGGTAACTGGGCGGGATGAAGGCACAGCGGAGGCTGGGAGCGATGCCCACGATGGAACCAGTCCGTGGGGGTATGCGATCTGATTCCGCAGCATCCAGCTGTCCGGGGCATGTCTGGAGAGGACAGAGAAGTCTGGCTTGTCCAGGGATGGACAGCAGTTACTCACTAAATACTTGCTTATATCCTCAACTTCACCCCCTTTGAAACTACTTGCCGGGGCGCCTGCGTGGCTCAGTTGGTTAGGCATCCGACTCTTCATCTCGGCTCAGGTCATGAGCTCATGATCTGGGAGTTCAAGCCCTGCATCGGGGTCTGTGGTGACAGCTCCTGCTTGGGATTCTCTCTCTCCCTCTCTCTGCCCCTCCCCTGCTCATGCTCACTTTCTGCCCAAAGAAATAAACCTTAAGAACTTTAAATAAACAAACTTTAAAAAAAAAAGAAAATGCTTACAGGTGTTTGGAAGCACAATTGTATCCCAATCGTGCGCAGTGAAGTGTGACACAGGCTCGTAAGTATGTGCGTCCTGGTCACGTGACTCACCTGATGTTTCAGCGGGGATTCTATCCTCCTGAATTCGGAGGGCTGATTCTCTAACTGGTAGACGATCAGTCCCCTCTCTGCAGTCGCCACCACGGCCATTGGGTAGATCTAGGGAATGGAGGAGGCAGCGGCGTGCTTAAAATGAAGGACTGTGGTTTTTTTACAAAAAACTATTAGATCGAAATTCTTTCAGAGTCACAAAAATAAGTCTGAATTTTTTTTAACTTAAAAAAGACCACTGGTATCAACATGTTTCATGAAAATCTGTAGAAACCGTATCTGCAAGTAGAACGTCCGTTTTTAAAAGGCTCGTTTTTTAAAACTATAAAATACAATCATTTGAAAAGTACACCGAGGAAGAGAGGAGAAATCAAAGTCACCTACACCATCCCTTCAGATGACAGCTGTTGTCACTATCAGTGTGTTTACTCCGGTGTTTCTTTGAGCATTACGCACATATAGGCACGTATGTATGTTCCTGCATAATCCGGATCCTTCTCTCGAGGTGTGTGTTCCGAGAACGCTACTGATGACTGTGCAATATTCCCTCAAACAAACACAGCACCAGGTTCGTTTAATCTCCCTGGTCCTGTTGGCCCATTAGGTCACATCCAAGGTTTCGTCGTGTTACACAAAACAAAACCCATCTGCGTCGTTTTTCTCACAATAAATTCCTAAAAGTGCGATTACTGGTAGTTCGCACAAAACTTTAAGACTTATAACCAGATGGACAGAGAAAGTTCTTCGGTTTCTCTTCCACTCACGGTCCCCAAAGATCCGGTGCCACACCACAAAGTTGTTGCCAGTTTCTCTACAGCAACCAAAAAATGTTATAGACTGATGGCACGTGGCTTCCTGCGTATGTTCAAAACACAAGTGGCAAAAAAAAACCCGGCAGCAGGATTCAGTAATTTTGGAACAAATCCAGCACAAAAATCTCCTGATTCAAGACGACAGGAGGTCTGAACTACATCCTCTGGGAACTTATTATTAAAATTCGAGGGATTTTTACATTATCCTCTAATTGCAAGACGTCATCAAGTTTTGTATTTCTCTTAAAAGGATACATATTAAGTCAGAAATTCCTCACCACATCGGCGCAGTAACATCTTTCAGGGAGTTGCAAAACCATCATGGGATTTGATGATCGTGTATCCCAAAACTAGAAGGAAGAAAAAACAACAAAAAGCCAGTAACTGACCATTCAGAGCTTTAGTGCAAACAGCATGAGAAGTAAATGTCCATCCTGGTCAGGCCATGCAGTCCCCTCAATGGCATAATCATACCTTCAAAGTCTTATCCCAGCTGCCAGTCATCACACAGCTGTAGTTTGGAGCTTTGATCCAATGGATGGTCTTAACAGGCGCGTCGTGCTTTCAAAACAAAATCAGAGCAGATCAAGATAAATGTAACCATGTGCCGAACGGGCCTCAGTTCTGGAAACTCAAAGACAAGGAATGAACTTAAATATCAAGGTCGTACCAGACAAACACCAAAGGATATCCAAGCCCTTCCCAATGACCGTGACATCCAATTTACCCCGAGAACTTATATCTACTTACCATCCTGACAAATGTTAGTTTTATTTTCCCCCTAATTAGCGAGCACGTGAGAGTAAAAGCAAGCCCCTTCCCAGGGAGGCGTTCAGAAATGACAAGTAGGGACTCCACCACTTTTGTTTATACTAAGGTGGTACGAATCAAGAAATCAAGGAGATGCTTCTGGCACACAGCCCCGTGATCTCGGAGTATGCGATGCCTTTCTGAAAACGTTTCCACGTCAAGGGGCCCTTCTCAAACAGGTCAGACCCTCTGGTTCTTGGCCCTCTTGCCTCCGTTACTCCTGCCTTAGCAGTCTTTCCACAAGAGCGTGCCTGCTGTCCCCGAGCAGGCTAACAGCTCCACGGGCGCGTGCAAGCATCCTTCTTACTTGCTGCCGTGTCTCTACCCCTACGGAAAGTCCTGGGATACAGCAGGCATTCAATAAATACTTGTCGAACAAACGAGTATCCAAATACAGTTGGGAAAAGGCAAGCCGCACACGGGTGTCGGAATGTCAGATACGTGAATGTTGAGGCCCACGGGCACCAGCCTTTTGTGGACGGCGTTTATTACCTGTGCAATCTGTATTGCTTGATTACTGTTGAGGTCCCACATTTTGGCAGTTTTATCACATGATGCTGTAAATACTTTGCTCCCATCCTAAAAGAAAGTGAAGAAAATTTGTCATTGGAAAAAAATAAAATTTCTATCTGTATATTAAGTTGATCATATTGAGGCAGGTTTCATTTTGCAATTTTTAAAAAATTTTTTAAATGTTTATTTTTGAGAGAGAGAGGGAAAGAGAAAGAGCACAAGTGGGGAGGGGCAGAGAGAGAGGGAGACACAGAATCCGAAGCAGGCTCCAGGCGCTAAGCGATCAGCACAGAGCCCGACGTGGGGTTCAAGCTCAAGGACCATGAGATCATGACCTGAGTCGAAGTCGGACGCTCAACCGACTGGGCCACCAGGTGCCCCTGCAATTTTTATTTTTCTAATTATCTGGGGGCTAGTATATTATAAACTACGCTGTCATACCCAAAACGTGTTTTAGCTTCATTTCTTTATTACTGATTTATTTTTCTAAGAAATACCACATAAACAGGATGAAAACCATTCAAATAGCTCTTGAAGTTATACAGGGAAGATGAGGTCGCCCACCCCTGACCTGGCTCCTTCCTTATGGGCCACTCACTACCCTCTGGGAGTAGTTTTTGGGTATCCTCCATCTGTGTGTATTACCAGGGGACGTTTATACATTTTTTCTTGTTTTGATTAATTTTAAGCTGTTTTTTTTTTTAAATGAATTTCAAGCCCTCACAAAAGTTGCAGGAATAAAACCATGAAGATCCGTAAACACTTCACCTAGAATCACCAATGGTAAACACATTTACGGTATCTCTCTATGTAGACACACGTGTATATCCATAATCATTACACATCTGTTCACCTATGTATCCGATAACATTCTGAAGTGCACACCCTAAGACTACACTAATCTTTATTCTTTAAATTTCTTTAATGTTTATTTATTTATGAGAGAGTGAGAGTGAGCACATGTCGGGGGGGGGCGGGGCGCAGACAGAGAAGGAGACACAGAATCCAAAGTGGGTTCCAAGCTCTGAGTTGTCAGCACAGAGCCTGGAACCCACTTCAGATTCTGTGTCTCCCTCCCTCTCTACCTTTCCCCAACTCACACTCTGTGCCTCTCTCTCTCAAAAATAAACAAACGTTTAAAAAAATTCAAATACAGAACTCATAAATTAGGTCAAATACGAAGAAGCACAAGATAAGTTTTAAAAAGTACTAAATGGAAAGTTCTAGACCAGCGGTTGGCAAATTTTTTTCTTTAAAAAACAATTTTTTTTTATGTTTCTATTTTACTTTTGAGAGAGAGAGAGAGCCACACAGTGAGAGCAGGAGAGGGGCGGAGAGCGAGGGAGACACAGAATCCAAATGGGCTCCGGGCTCTGTCAGCACAGAGCCCGACGCGGGGCTTGAACTCACAGACTGCGAGATCATGACCTGAGCTGAAGTCGGACGCCCAACTGACTGAGCCACCCAGGCGCCCCACAAATTTCTTTCTTAAAGGGCCATTTATTTAGTGAATTTTCGTCTTTATAGGTCTCCGTTCCAACTCCTGAAGTGTTACACTTGAAGGCAGCCATACACACTATGTACATGAGGGAGTGTGGCTGTGTTCCAATAAACTTTATTCCCAAAAATAGGCAACGGGCCACAGTCTGCTGACCAGTGACCCAGATTATGTCATTTCTGGTTCCAAAGCTCCAAGATTTACTGCCATCCTTCCCCAGCAAAAGTTTCTTCCCATAGAAAGTCACCAGTTCTGCAACTGAAAGACAAGATACAACCTGCCTGTGTCGGTGACCTCGGAAGGCTCACTCTGTAAACCCTCAGAAAGACACCGACGCATGCGATGGCCACCCCCAGACCGAGGGACGCGCCGGCCTCTCCATCGCACCGGCAACGCCCGTCCTACCAGCCGTGACCAGCACCACACGGCAGCGGCACACGAGGGCCCAGTGGGCGCGTCGACCTCGAGGCTAATCTACCCGAAGGCGGGGCAGACGACAGCACTCGTGTTCCTGGCCCTGTGTTCTCCACCCAGCTGCTCTCCACGCTGCTACGGCCACGGAGCGAAAATGTCCTCAGAGGGCAAAGAATCATCTTCGCCAAGTTTGGTTTTTATGCCTCCACGGTCGCTCTGGCTCTTTCGTGCTTCCGTGCCGTTACGTACGTGGCTTCCTCTCCCGGACGCTCTTCCCACGCTGGCCCATTTCCCTTCCTGTAGGCCTATGAGGGAGGCGGTCAAGCACATGGGCTCTGGAGCCAGGAAGGTCTGGGTCTGGGCCTAGACTCGGCCACTCACTATGTTCCCTCAGGCAAGCCTGTCGTCTAACACCGTGCCCGTCGCTTTACGTACGTGTGGTCTAGCTGTCACAAGTTCTGCCACCTGGAATTCTTACTTGTTTCTACAGGTCTGTCCTAAGAGACCAGAAATTCCATGAATACGGTATTTGCCTACCTGGCCTACTTTGTTTTCCACTCTATCCCCAGGGCTTTAGTTTACTAGAGGAGCCTGATAGTTATTTGCTGAATTAAATATGACCTGTCGTAATTATTATCACCTTCATTTTACAAACGAGGAAACAGATGAAGAGATCAGGTAACCTGCCAAACTGAAAACACTGAAGAGTAGAGCCCAAATTTGAACCTAGGCCTGGACTGGATGACACAACGCTCAAAAAACTAGAGGCCTGTGTGCAGTTCGTTTCTCTAACTCTTGTCTCTTCAGTGAAGCCTTCACGGCACCCTCCCCAAAATTTACAGTTGCTTTCTGTGTTCCCCACTACCCAGCACCAGCACACCTTCTCAGAACTCAGAACCCTTCGTTACGGTGCTCAATCCCTCCAGCAGATGACGCACAACTCGGGAGAAAGGAAATAAGCTGTTCTCGTTTTTATATATCCCGAAGCCACTCAACACATCCTCTACCAGTTCATTTTACTTCTTCCCTACTTTATAAGAAACTTTACATTCTGATCCATCACCAAATCAGAAAAAAAGACAGGCAAAATAAATCAAGTATTTTAAATTTACTCAAGTTATTACTTTTCCACGTGCAAATTAAAAATAAGTTGTGGGGCCCCTGGGTGGCTCAGTGGGTTTAGTGTCAGACTCTTGATTTCAGTTCAGGTCACGATCTCACAGTTCATGAGTTCGAGCCCCACGTCAGGCTCTGTGCAGACACCGCACAGCCTGCCTGAGTTTTCGGGTTTTTTTTGGAGAGAAAGAGAGGGCATGTGCGTGAGCAGGGGAAGGGCAGAGAGGGGGACAGAGGATCCCAAGGGGGCTCTGAGCTGACAGGCCAACAGCAGAGAGACCAATGTGGGGCGTGAACTCATGAGGCTCAAACTCATGAAACTGTTAGATCATGACCTGAGCCACTCAACCGACTGAGCCACTCAGGTGCCACCCTCCCTTCCCTGGGATTCTGTTCTTCTCTGCCCCTCCCCTGCACGTGTGCTCACTCTCTCTCTTTCTCTCTCTCAAAACAAACTTAAAAAAAAACAAGTTGTATCTGTAAAAAATGCATCTTTTCAAATTGTTTTCACAGATCTATTATCAGTCTCATACTAACCCAATCAGATATGTCAAGAAAACACCTTCAGATGACAAAAATGCTCAGAGAAGACCATCACAGTTAATGATGAAAACAGGAGCAACTCTGGCTCCTGAACCATCCCGAAATATGGATGAGTAGCAGACTCCTTTCTTAGTTAGAAACTAAGTAAGATCACGTCGTTTAAAAACGACCACATAAAACAGGAGTAATTGGCAATTTCTCATAGTTAAACATATACTCACCATACAACCCAATAATCCATTATCTACCCAGGAGAAATGAAAACTTTTGTTCGTGGGAATTCCAGGACCCAAGTGTTTACAGCAGCCTGATTCCTGACCAAAATGGGCAACAACCCAAACGTCCTTCTCCTGGTGGCTGGGTGAGCAAACGATGACCCGGCCACGCAGTGGGCCAAACCACTGGCACGACCACCTGCACGGGGCTCAAAGGCACCACGCGGAGTGAAGGGGCACTGCGGGGCGGGGCTGTCTGCGCAACCCGGCACGGGGAGAGCCACGGGCACCAAAACCACACCAGTGGTTTCCAGGGGCTGGGATCAGAGGAGGACGTGCCCACACAAGGGCGGGGGGGGGATTCTGGGGGGAATCTGGGGGGATTCTGGGACATTCTGTGTTTCGACCACAAGTCTCTGCAGCCTCAAAAACTGACAGAATTACACGCTAAAAAGGTTCCGTTTCATCGTCTGCAAATCATGCCTAATGAATCTGACCGAACAAATGACACAGAAGGCCTGGGAGGGGCCGGAAGGCCTAGCCTCCCCCGCATGGGGGTACATCCGTCTGCCCGTCAGTCAGGCCCCTGTTTTCTTGCCTCCGCTGGGCTCAGCCAACCGGGCCACAGCGGTGGCGGGAGAGGAAGGCTGAGCTGTCCGTGCCTCAGGCCCTCCTCTCCCCGGGGGACCGGCCTCTCCACAGCTGCGGCCCGCCACACCCACCTTCCCTTCTCTGCTGGGCCTTGTGAAAGGTCTCTCCATTTAGACTCTCCCCAATCCACAGCAGAAGCTCAGAGCCACAATAACTTGGACATATTTGTTTATATGACTGATGTTCAAGATTCGGAAGGAAAAACAGAATTCTAAAACCCTAAAAAAGACTTTAAACGTCTGTTAATAGAAAAAGATTATTTTTTTCTCTAGCATTTATTTTCTGAGATACTAAATTTCCAATTTTAAAACAACATAAATTTATGGCATAAAGGTAAAAAAAGGTTTCCAGAAATTATTTAATCCTTTGCCCAAGGTAACGTGTCAGTAAAATGAAGTTGTGTTTTTTTGTTTAATTTTTTAAAATGTTTATTTACCTCTGAAAGAGATAGACAGACACAGTGAGAACAGGGGAGGGGCAGAGAGAAAGGGAGACACAGAATTGGAAGCAGGCTCCGGGCTCCAGGCTCCGAGCTGTCAGCACAGAGCCCAACGCGGGGCTCGAACTCACAGACCGCGAGATCATGAACCGAGCTGAAGTCGGACACTCAACCGACTGAGCCACCCAGGCACCCCTAAAATAATGAAGTTTTTATGCAAGAAAAGCTTTCAGATTAACTAAAGCTAACGTTAACGGACCCCCTTAGGAACATCAACGCATTCAGAAACTCAGAATTTCCAACAATGTGTACAGATACCCGCTATTTGTGGTTTGGGTTATATAAAAGTTGAAACACAAACTCTGGATTACACACGATTTTACGCCACAGAAAACACGAAAACTTGAATGAGACTCACATCACTCCAGCAGACATCTAACACCGGCCCCGTATGCATCTGCTGGGCTTTTGGGATCGTCTGTCCGCTATCTTGAACTTCCCAGCAGCGAACCTGAAGCGATACGACAAATGAACACAAACAGCAAGCCGTGGCACACTGCACGCAGTAAACACCTGATAAGGAATGGGGGCAACTTAGGCATACAGAAACGTCTCCTATCAACCTCATTAACTTTAACAACAAAGCGATTGAGGGGCGCCTGGGTAGCTTCCTCGGTTAAGCATCTGTCTATTTTGGCTCAGGTCACGATTTCATGGTTCGCAGGATCAAGCCCGGAGTCGGGCTCTGTGCTGACAGTGCAGAGCCTGCTTGAGATTCTCTCTCTCTGCCCCGCCCCAGCTTGTGCTCTCTCAAAATAAATATTAAAAAAAAAAAAAATGTTTGCTGTGCTGTCTTTCTATGCACACGCTGTCTTCAAGAAACTAGATTACAGGGGTGCCTGGGTGGCTGGCTCAGTTGGTTAAAGCATCCAACTTCAGCTCAGGTCACTATCTCGCGGTCCGGGAGTTCTAGCCCCGCGTCAGGCTCTGGGCTGATGGCTCAGGGCCTGCTTCCGATTCTGTGTCTCCCTCTCTCTCTGCCCCTCCCCCGTTCATGCTCTCTCTCTGTCTCAAAAATAAAAATAAAACGTTACAAAAATATATATAAAAAAAAAAAAAAAAAAAAAAAAAAGAAAACAAACTAGATTACAGAGTACCTTCACTCTCGTCAGCACTTTTCTCCCTGCATCATTAGTTGCCATTACACGTTCTTCTGACGTTTTTTAGTGACTCATTTGAAGTCTTTCCAGAAACTACATGTAGAAACCAAACCTGCTCAGCCATGGCTACCTTCCTCCCCTTGCTGTTCTCCTCTCTTCATCCCCCTGCCGCCCCACTGCCTCCCTGCTGCCGAAAAATCTTTTCCAAAACCTTAAAATGGCAATCCAGCATACAAACATACCACAGAATACCATTATTAGTGGACTAGCAGGAGACTTCTTAAAATGAGGCAGTATCGGGGAGCAGCCAGGAGTCTAGACCCTGGGCCATATTGCGCGGGTCGGCAGCCCCGCCTCGCTCCTCCCTTACATGTGGGCCCTGGGCCAGTTATTCTACTCCTGAGCTCACGAGCTGCTTCATAAGACGGGCAGGACAGTGAAGAGACTGCTGGAGAGTCTGCAAGAGACAGCCTGGGGACGTTCCTCATGCCCCACAGTGGAATCACTAAGATGCAACGTACAAACTTAAGGATTTCTCACAGGTATGGCCGATTACCTTTCAGGAGCCCCGTAGCAATCTACACACTCAGCAGTGGTACATGTATGGTTTCGGCTTATCTTTGCCGAGACCGACCGTTATTCTTTTCTGCTTTTAATTTTCGGTAACGTGACGGAGTCTATCACCTAAGTCTGGATTCACCTGCTCAGGAGTGTGGCCGGATGGCTCCGGTCCACACCAAGGGGCCACCTGCCCTCCCTCTGTCAAGTGCCTCTTCACATCCTTTGCTTATTTTTCTACCAGAGGTTTTATCTTTCTGTGATTTTTTTGCCTTTCTTCTTGTACGCCACAGGCTAAGCGTAACACCTACGCACGATCTGTGCTTTGCCCGAAGTTAAACAAGTTTAACGTGTGCCTTAAGAACGTTTCAGGATAAGAAAAGAAATTTATGTATACTACCACAGATAACGGTCATTCTCAACGATACTACATTTGATCTGGGAATCCACGTCAAGTTACTGAACTAAGGTAGGAAATTTTTTTAAGGTCGTATGTATGTACGTACGTATGTATATGTACGTATGTAAAGTAATCTCCACACCCAACGCGGGGCTGGAGCTCACAACCCTGAGATCAAGAGACATGTGCTCCACTGACTGAGTCGGCCAGGCCCCCCCAGAGGAGGAAGTTTTGAGTGATGCCTATGATCACGCTTTCTTAACAAAAATCAGGGTAACAAATGACGTCAGTGCACTCAGAAGGGTCACACCCTCTAACCGATTTCTTTCTTCATTCACTTCATTCACTTGGGAAAGAACGGAGCCAAAAGGAAAGCTAACCCTGTCCATACAAAGAGAGAGGACTTCTAGAACATGCACGTAAGGAGCACTTACATCATTAGCCCACGATCCTGCAATAAGAAAGTTCCCGGGCAAGGTTGGTGGGCTAAAAGATAGACAACCAATGCTATCATCAGGAGACGATGTTACTTCAATATCCTGGGGGGAAAAAGTCAGCGTTACAAAGTATGCATCATTAATTTCATTCAAAATTGTTTTCTTTCTCACTAAGCACTCAGGGTAGACTTTCCTTGTGTTCAGGAACTAAATGAACTGGACCTCTCTTACTTTGATCCCAAAGGGGAAGCTATGGGAAGGACCAGCATAGATGGGAGGGACCAGACCCAGCACTCTCTATGAAATGCCCATCATGATATCTTCCAAGCGACGGCCCACTGGTTCACTGTGGCCTCAAAGTGCTTGATCAAAGTCATCGCCTGTCCCCACCCCAAAGGAAATTCTAACTCAACAGTCGTGGGCTGGGCCCTGGGAACCCACAGTTTTAACAAGCACTGCGGTGACTTAAGAGATGGGGAAAGTTAGGGTGCCCGGGACACTCGGGCAGTGGACACAGCTGCCGTGCTCCCGAGTTGGAGAAAGTGGGCTAGACAGAGTTTCAGAGCTTTTGCCCCAAAGGAGGCTCCCACACCACTTCAGTGTCCCTCACTCGGGGAGGCCCTGGCGAGTGATTTCCTCCAAGTGCCGTGAAGCTTTCCGCGGTACCTTCATGGGGTTGTGGTTATCTGTGCTTGTGCTGCCAAACATGCTGGTCCCACTGGTTCCGAAACCCGAGGTTGTTCCGAACAGACTCATTTTGGCCCTGAAAAGTAACGGAAAACGTTAAGGACGGGTCCTTTCTTCAGGAATCAAGATCACTGAGAGCTAACTTAAAGCTAATTCAGCCACAGAAGAAAAAGAAGACTCTAAATGAGTTTCTCTCTTCTCAAGACATCTAAACATGTGATAAGCAGGTACTTTTTAAAGATCAACTTTCTACTTTAGGACTGTTTTTGACTTACAGGGAATTGTCAAGACAGAGTTCCCACACACCACACAGCCAGCTTCCCCGTTTCCCTCGCACGTTTGCCACCGTTAGTAAACCAAGACACTACGGCCGAGTGCTTTTCAGTCACCAGCCAGAAAATAAATTCACCCATGTTTTACGTAGTTTGAGACGCTGCCCTTGGCACCAGGAACACAACAGTGAACCAGCAAAAGGCCCCACTCTTCAGGTCACCACTCAGTGGGAGTTTCCTGTCTTCTTACTAACTTCTACGCTGCTTTAGGTCGGCATCTCCGAACGAAGTCACTAAGACAAGCAACCAGTCCCGGCAAAGTTCAGCAACTTCTCCGTACAAGAAGTTTTAAACAGTACTCCATCGGGTCTGGTCGAGTACCCAAAGGTCTGGTATTACATCCTGGACAACACAGAATGGGGAGACCGCTAGGGGTTCTGGAAAGGCATCTGGGCTTCCCGACCTCATGAAGCAAGCGGGCGCCCAGCGACTCGGTCAAAGCAACGGCTATGATCCCGTCGGCATCTGAGAACAACTCTGTGAGAGGACGTTAAATGCGAGCAGTGCCCGGGCAACGCCAGCTCACTGCATGAGAACAAAGGAGTAACAAGGCTTCTGCAGGCAGAGTCCAGGAACCGGTGGCTACACGGCTTGGGGCAGGTGACTTAGCCTCGATTTTCTCATCCCCGAAAACAGAGCCACGAATGCCCACTTCACCGAATCACGAAAAACAAGGGAGGTCGCGTGCACACACGCACGGCGCCTGAAAATTCTCTGTTCCTTCCCTCTCTGCAGCTCTCAAGTTGGGAGAGAACGTTTCTGCCACGTGGAACCCGGGGAAGGAGCAGGGGTCATGCAAGCATTAACCAGGCTACGTGGACCGCGTGTCATACAGGACGCTGGGACCCCTCAAGCTCGGAGGACCCGCGTACAACTCAACCGCACCTCCCCGCCTGCGCCACCCGCTGCGTTCCAGCCAGGCTGGCTCTGCTGACGCCCTTCCTGCGCGTGGACACAGCTAGGTCCACCCGGCCTTGGAACATTGCTGCTACCTGTTCCTTCCGCCTGGGGTGACTCGCCCTCCCCCATCCTCCCGACGTCTCAGGCTGAATCTTCAGACCCCCAATTCAAAAGCCGTCTCCCGAGCACTTTTGGGGGGCGATGGAAACGTTCTAAAACTGGACTGTGGTGATGCTGACACAACCGTAGGCAACTTCCCAAACCCATCGAAAAGGTCCGCTTTAAAAGGGTTACAGTAGGGGCGCCTGGGTGGCGCAGTCGGTTAAGCGTCCGACTTCAGCCAGGTCACGATCTCGCGGTCCGTGAGTTCGAGCCCCGCGTCGGGCTCTGGGCTGGTGGCTCGGAGCCTGGAGCCTGTTTCCGATTCTGTGTCTCCCTCTCTCTCTGCCCCTCCCCTGTTCATGCTCTGTCTCTCTCTGTCCCAAAAATAAATAAAAAACGTTGAAAAAAAAAAAAAATTTTAAAAGGGTTACAGTAGAAGGCCGCTAGACCCGTCTGTTGCCAAAAGGTCACCTCCTCAGAGGCGTCCCTGTTTTCCTCATCTGACATCTCCAACCTCGGACGACATCACCCTGTTTTCTGGACGGCACCTGTCAGGATCTGACACTGTTTGCAACCAGGCTCTTCCCCAAGAGAAGGTCAGCTCCGGGAGGACAGAGGGCTGTCTGGATTCTTCCCTGGCACACGCCTGACCCTCAGCACAGTGCCTTGGGCACGGCGGCTGGGACCGGACAGATACTTGCCTGGGGGACGCGTGTCTCCGTGTGTACAGCAAACACTTGGCAGAGAAGGCCGGAAACAAAGAGACAGATCAGTTTCAGACAGTGGTCAGTGCAACGAAGAGAGGTTAAAGCGGGAGAAGACTAAAGGGGATGGATGCCCTTCTACCCTGGTCGGGGAAGGCTCCTCCGAGGAGGTAGCATGCGTCTGATAAGCCAGACCTGTAACCGGGGAGGACAGAGGCGACAGACGCTGCCATCAACTCCGCGACCCTTCCCAGTGCCTCAGTTTCCCCACAAGAAGGACGAGGGGGTTAGACCCGAGATGACTCCGAGGCCCCTTCCAGCTCTGGCGTCCCTCCCAGGGGCCGGTAACGAAGCCCGCTAACCGGCCGGCTCGCGCCCCGGCACCTCGCTGCGGGGCTCACTCCGCCGGGGGACCCGGCCTCGGAGGCGCCATGGCCGCGGGGAGCGAGGGAGGCGGCACGGGGCCTACCTGAGTCACGCCGCGGCGGGGGGGCAGGTGGCGGGGAGCGGGAGGAACTCGGGGGCCTGCGAGCCCACCCGGGCGAGGAGGAGGCGAAGGCGAGGTGGCGCGAACAGAAAACCCAAAGGCCGAAACTCCCTCACGCTGGTGGAGGAAACTGCCCCAATTACCGCGGAGCCACTGCGCCTGCGCCCCGGGGCCACTTCCTGTGCCGCCCGGAAGGCAGCGAAGAAAGAAAAAAAAAAAAAGCCTTCCCCCTCTCGCGAGACGATGACGCATGCGCAGAAGCGTTATTGACGCCGAGAAGCAGTCCCCGTGCCAGCAATTTGCGGATTGGTCGTAAGTTGGTGTGGCCAGCCTGCAAGTTGCCAAGCAACTGTTTTAATAAATTCGCCGCTACCGCTCCCGCCCACGGAGGATAGTATTTTCTCTCGAGAATTAAATGTCTAGCAGAATTCTGATTGCCGCCAATTCAAGTCCAAGGCCATCCTCGGAGAAGCTGATGGAATGCTGCCTCGGGCTGCGGTGAAGTCCGCCAGCCTGGGGCCCTGCCCTGGCCTCCTGTCTGCCGTCCGGGGCTCTTGGGGCCTCAGTTTCCTTTTGTAAAATTGGCGTAACGATGCCTGACTTCAGGGAAGTTCTTAATTGGGATCGAGTGAAGTAACACACATGAAAGACTTTTGCGAAGCGTAAGATTCCATAAGAATGCTAAGGGGTTGTTAGGACACACACATGGACGCGTGCCAACTCCAAAGATTTCAGCTGGTGGCTGAATTTCTGAAGGAAGAGAGAGGGATCTCCTGACTCTGTGGGACATACACTGAACCTTCTCCTTTGCTATTCAGTGTGGTCTGCGAACCAGGAGCCTTAATATCTGCAGGGAACTTTCAGACCCACAAGACCTTTTTATAAAATGCAGATCGAGAAGGCCCAGGGGGTGCTGAGCAAATTCCCAGCTGAGCTGGCCGCACGGAGTCTAGATGAGGTATTTGGAGTCATTTGGGGTACCTTTTGTAAAGCTGTGCTGCCTGGGCCTCCCTCTCAGAGATTTCTGATTTAGTTGATCTGTGGTGGCACAGGGGGTTAATAGTTTTTATAAGCTCCCCAAGTGATCCTAAGGAGCAGGCAAGATTGAGAACCTCTAGTCTAGATCGTGATAATAATAAGAGCTCTTTATCTCCTATAATTTCCAGAGCAGCCCTATAAAGTAAGTACTGTAATCCCATTTTATAGAAAGGAAAGCGAGGCTGAGCGAAGCAACCTCCTTGTCAGACATCATACAGCCGTTAAGCAGCAGAGCCAGTGAAGCCTGTCCGGTACCGAAGTCCCCCAGCATAATCTTGGAATCATCTCTGACAAGTACTCCCTCCTCAAGGACACCTTTCTTCATTCTTTCCCAAATGGATCATCTCATACCATCGCTTCTTGAAGACTGCTTCTCATATTCTGCCTCATAAAACGGCAGGCATTTGCCTCGTCTGGCTTGCTAGACTTTAAACTGTGTCTTACTCCCGTGTGTATCCTTTGCAGCACCAAGCTCTCAGTGTCTTACACACAGCTGGAGTGAAATCAGCGTTTGTTGAATTATATTTCCCACACCTGAGGAATACTCCAGAAACCTCTATCATGATACAGAGTCTTGCAAAATCCTGGTGCTTCATCATATTTTTAAAACGATCTTTCTGCTGTTCCGGGGGAACTAATTGACAAGCTGCTTTTGCATCGACCACCCGGGGAAGAATAAAAGCACGTGCACGCAAATGTAGCAACAGCGAACATTCCTTGACTTTTCTAAAGTGTCATTCCAACAGTTTACGGGAATTATCTCACTTAGTCCTCACAATGAGACTACGGGGATATTATTCTTGTTATCTCCAATTCGCCGTTGACAAAACCAAGGCCAGCCACACAAGAAGCGAGTAGAAGGGGGAGCTGAGATGCAAGCCGCGTGCCCCCCAAATCCGACTCCGCAGATGGCAGGTGGCAGCAAATCACCGCCACTAGCAGTGGCATCTTTTCCACTGGCAACAAGAAGGGGGATCAAAACAACCTAAAAGCAGGGATAGAATTATTGAGCCATAAAGTATAGGCAAAACATCATTAAAAATGAAACAAGATTAAATTTCAGCTACGGCTATCATTCACATTGGTAAACACTTGCGCGGTTATTACACAAGACAGGCTTTATGAAGGACCACACAGTTTAGATTACATTTCTAGGTGAATACAAACTAAACAGGCTTATAATTTTAGTATCAATTCCTTTTCATTTAAGGTGACCTTTAATTTTGAAATTATGAATTTTTTTTCATGTTTGTTTATGTTTGAGAGAGAGCGCGCACGCACAGGCAGGAGAGGGGCAGAGAGAGAGGGAGACCCAGAATCCTAAGCGGGCACCAGGCTCCGAACTGTCAGCACAAAGCCCGACAGGGGGCTCGAACTCAAGAACCGCAAGATCCTGACCTGAGTCGAAGTTGGACGCTTGACCGGCTGAGCCACCCAGGCGCCCCTGATTATAAAGTTCTAATGTGTTGTTTAAGGTTTTGTAAACAGCTCAGTTGCCAAGAAGCACAAAGTGCAGCTTCACAAGGAATCGGCAACATCCAGAGCTGATGACACAGAATGAATTTTTGTCAAGTAGTACTCAGCCTCACACAGGAATCTTCGTGGTTTCCTCAACTTCTTTTGTCGCATCTCAGACTCTTCTGCTCCATTCCTTCGAACGCTGACTTGAAGATGTTTTAAAGAAACATCCATCCAAGAGTGGAAGGATCTGAGAGAACAGTAGAGTTTCTGCCAGCAGAGGACGCCCTTGGCTCGTGTTTACAGGACTGTTCCCCCGGGTAACATTTTACCGGTGCACAAAAGTCCAAACAGATTAATGTTTCTCGATACTTTACTGCAAAAACATTCTGTTGCAAATATCTCTTAATGCACATGTACATGTGGCTTAGCTTTGAGAGCAACCGTTCTTTTTGGCACCAATAAACAGGTGTCTACATCCAACAGTTCAACTGAGATGCTCTCATTAAAGGAAGGAAGTCATATATGGAAATCCCAGAATGATTTTGCTTATTCTGCAGAAACTGCAATATTCTCTCCTCACATTTTCTTTTCCCAAATAACTGAAAATTATTTTAAGTAAATTTCCAATCATAAACTTGAAATGACTGTAATTGTCTAAACTGAATGTATCTGCAAGCCCCTTTCAAATTTATTTTCCAACTTTTTTAAAGTTTACTTATTTTGAGAGAGAGAGAGCACGCATGTGCATGTGCAGGGAAAGGGCAGAGGGAAAGGCAGAGAGAGAGAGAGAGAGAGAGAATCGCAAGCAGGCTCCGCACTGTTGGTGTGGAGCCCGACATGGGGCTCCACCTCACAAACCGCAAGATCACGACCTGAGCCGACATCAAGAGTTGTCCACTTAATCGACTGAGCCACCCAGGCGCCCCTATTTTCAAACTTTAATTAGACTACTGTAGATGTTTCATTCCTTTCCATTCGATAGTCTATCCGAACGAATCCAGACATCGTGCAGCTTGACCATGTATTTCTAGGTTAGTAATGTTCTCCTTTACACGACATGTCAAACTTCAGCGATATGAGATGTAAAGGAAGGAAGTAGGGTATAAATTCAAAGCAAAATTTGTGATTTATAAAAATGTCTTTACAATTTGCGATAGTCTCACAAGTCAATTTGGTAGCCTCACAGAATATTCTCAAAATGAAATACCTGGTTCTGAGGCGACCAGGGAAAATCACATAATTTTTGACATTACAGGCTTGGCATCAGGAGGACCTGACTTGGCCCCCAGCCAACAAGAACTGTGGACCCTCTCCGAGCAGTGTGCATACTTGTGCTCCACACGTGGAGCCCTTCACATGTACTGGTGTCGTGATGAGAGCAGGAGCCTCGGAGCCAGACTCTGGCGTTAGGTCCCAGCTCCGCTGCTTAGTAGTTGTGTGACTTTGGGAAAAGCTATTAGCATCTCTGTACCTTTGTTCTCTTATCTGTAAAGTGGGGCTGATAAAAGTACCTAGCTCATAGAGTTTCTGTGAAGATGACGTTAATGTTCAACAGCACCTAGAAAAATACCTGGTGCGTAAGTGCTATACAAGTACTTAATTTTCTTATTATATTACCTCATTTAATACGTACCAGAACCTCTTGAGTAGGGCCACCTTCGTGGGTGTGCAGTCACGCGGGCCCCAAGGGCGCTTTAATTCCCTGCTGCTGATAACTTTTGAATGAGGACCCTACAATTACATTTTGCCCTGGGCCCCACATATTCGGTAGCTGGTCCTACTCTTGAGGTAAACAGTGTCACTGTCCCCTCTCTGCCATGTCCTGGCTATGTGTCCCAGGAGAAGCAACATCCCCCGTGTTCTCACCTGTAAACTACAGATGTAATTAACTACAGACCTGACGGGGCTCTTGGAAGCCTTAAGTAAGATCACGTGTAAGCAGTGATCAGCACATGTAAGTTCTCAGAAATGGCATCCACTACTATCATCGATAAAACATCATCACTTGATAAAATCACCAACATTTCTGTTCTCCTACAAATCTATATTCTTGCTTATAATTACAAGCAGTTCTTCAATACAGGGAAAAGCTTGCTGAAAGTAGAGAATAAAGTCATAAAACCCAACTCTGGAAAAATTAAGATAGGGTTAGGAGGGGAGAAGATCAAATCTTTACTGTCACAGAAAGACCTTATTAAAATTCGAGGCTTCTGCAAATCTTGAACATGTTCTGTGTTTCATAAACACGGACTAGAGGAGAAGTCAGGGGACTTGATTTGGGGTGAGAACGGATAAAGCCCTGGAGAAATTTTCAAACAAATTATTACTAATAAGAGGCATACTCAGAAACGAAATTAAGTGCTTCGGTCTGCATCAACCCAAATATTTATTCATAATAAATTTTACCACTTTCACAAGTGAATGAATGGGCTACAGCCCCTACACCAGGAAGGAAAAAGAAAAAACAAAACAAAACAAAAAGCAGCTAAAAAGGAAATGCCGGACACTGTGATTCATTTGCAACCTCTCAAATCTAGGTTATTATTTGTTTTGATACTGAAAAGATACTTCGTGCCTTAACATTAGTCGTACTGTAGAAAGTAAATAAGGTATTTCTGTAGACCTTGATGACATGTACACATTTTTTTTCAAGTAGAATTTAAAAGTCAAAATAACTTCTACTTTCTTTTATAATTTACTTTAGAACATAAGATAGAACTCAATCTCTACAGAGAAGGCCAAAACAAAGACTTCTAGAGAAAACTGTTTTGACAAAAAATATAACTAACATAAAATTATTTTACCTCTACAAAGTTAAGAATATACATTCTTTCCACAACAGCATCTACTACTGAAAACTAATGAAATGCCTCTTGGAATCACAAGGTATATTCTGATACGTTTTATATCCATCCTCCAAATTTTAATTTGTTAGGTAAGTACACTCTGGAAAGGTAATCTGATGAAAGGAAGGTCAAAGCTTGAATTTCTGCCTTCATTTTAGAGTCCGCCATTATTTCCATCTGCCAATAAAAGTAAAATACAGCCGTAACAGGGTCCCGTGTGACACTTCTGTTGACTCAAACTAGTAAGTCTAGACTTGTTTTATTCTCCAAAACCGTGGGCAATAGCTTTCGAATCAGCCAGGATATTCCAGAGCTGTCACAGCAAAAAATGTCAGAAGAATACCCAGTATGGCTGTGTGTGATAACTAGGAATGGTCTGGGGTCTTTCTGATTTCTTTCTCTTCTTCCCCCACATCCCCATAAGCTATGGTAAAGCCATAGACAATGGGTATATAACTATGATGAGGATAAATAGATCAGCTCCATCCAGCTGATCTTATCTATTGGCATTCCTAATTCAGTGTTTCAACAACCATTTACCGCCACACAACACCTATGCTAGTTGTTGGTAATATAAAATTTCAAGGAGGATATTTTCAAGTTATGTGAATAGCCACTATGGAAGTTAAAGGCAATAAAACATACAACACTTGAACTTTAGAAAAAAAAACCTACTTCTTTTCTCCAAAATGGCTGGCAAGTAACATAAGGTCTTTTCAGGACACTGTCCAGTTTCATCTGGTCCCGTTTTGTCAGTGGAATTAAAGTATCTCTAGGTATATTTAATCTGGAAAAATATAAGAAAAAAATCAGCAAAAACAAAGTGTTCCTATAACTTGAAGAACACATATTTGTTTGTATTTATTATACTATTTCAAGAAACTCTAAAATAACAGATAAGCAAGTTATTTTAAATTCGGAATTTGGGGGATCTGGCACGTCCTAGACCAGCAAGTATTCAGGTTCACAGTGGAAGTCTGCTCTAAATTGTTTTTCTTCACATCACACTCACATGACAGTGAGAAGAAGAACACAGACACTGGTTACAGACACTAATGCCAACAGCGCTCACATCAAGCGTGTGGACACCAGTGTGGCTCCCAGAGCACTACGGCCTTGAAGCAGTGAGCTATTTATTTATTTATTTATTTTTAATTTATTTATTCTTTTTAATTTTTTTTCAACGTTTATTTATTTTTGGGACAGAGAGAGACAGAGCATGAACGGGGGAGGGGCAGAGAGAGAGGGAGACACAGAATCGGAAACAGGCTCCAGGCTCCGAGCCATCAGCCCAGAGCCTGACGCGGGGCTCGAACTCACGGACCGCGAGATCGTGACCTGAGCCGAAGTTGGACGCTCAACCGACTGCGCCACCCAGGCGCCCCGAAGCAGTGAGCTATTTAATGTGTGTGGCCAGCAGCAAGATTCACTGTGGGATCTTAGGCTCCACTGAGCGCTTCGTTCTTTGCCATTCGTCGAGAATTTTCTGGGCCAAGGAAGTTAGTCTATCACTCACTTCTTTTCACATGTGCACACACACACACGCGCGCGCATATCTAGTTTTAAATTTTCGAGAAGTAGGTTGTAATTTTTTTTCTTGGTGTGTGTTTTAAAAATAGAACATGAGGAGTCCAGGATTTATGGTATAGACTAACTTTTGAAGTGACAAATCCTGGATTTCCCAGAAGAGCTCCAGTTTCAAACAGTCGTTTTCAATGTCCCCACAATTATGATCATTTGCCAGTGGCAGCTCCCGGATAGGGTGACAATTTGATTAGAAAGGGGGGCCTAGAGGATTTCCCATGAAGCTGTTTACATAGCTATCACATTTTTCCCCTTACTTCGTTGTACATTTATTTGGAGTGGCTTTGAGGGCACTGATGGAATTTAGGAGACGCAGCTACAGTTTCTCCAAGGCCCTTCACCTTAGTAATTATCAGATCATTTGTCCCGAATTCGTTCGGAAAGCTTTTCATACAGGCAGATCACCCCGAAGGGATTTTGACCATACACGTACACCAAACTGAACAAAACTTTGAGTCAGTGGAGCACTACTATTCAAAAATCAAAAACTGAATGTTTTATGCCCTTATTTTTGAAGAAGTGGCAATCACCCAAAACCTGTTCGTGTTCCAAACTTAGGAAATTAAGGAGCAGTTACCAAGGTTTGCTCACTGCTTAAAGAAATCCGATAAACATGTTCTCAAGTTCATTCATGCCGGCCAATTAAAACAATAAAATATTTTTAAATATCACATTAAGCAGAGATGAATAAAAGTGATGATGTCCTATGCTGAGGGACAGGCGGGCTCTTCCTCTCCCGGGAAAACAATTAACCTATCCAGAGGGCAGTCAACGTCTTAAAAATGTGCATACCCTTTGACCCAGCAATTCTGGGAATTCAGCCTTCAGGAGTAAGGGACTAATTAAAGATGTGGGCAGAGATTCAGTTACAGCAGGGTCCATCAAAGCACTATTTATCAGATTATTTGGAAACCACCCAAATGTCTGACTATGAGGCACTGGCTGAATAAACACTGGTACATCCAGAATTGGAACTCAGTAATGGAGGACATTAAAATGAGGTCACGGAACTGTATTTATTGATACGGAAAAGTGATTTCATTGTGTTGTTGTGTGAAAAGAGCAGATTACAAAATAACAGGGTATGACCCCATTTTTGTGAAAAAGTGATGGCTATGTACAGAGAGCAATAATAACGTACAAGGGTGAATAATAACGTACAGATGAACGAACACCGTTCATCTGTAGGTGATTTTTATCTTGTTACATAATGACATTTTTCCTATAGTGAACATGTTATGTTCAACTCGCCAAAATTGAGGCTCCCAAACTTTAAGTAATCTTAAAATGAGATTTTCTTATGAAATTAAAAAATTTACATCTATGGTAAAATGGATTCAGGTGCAACCAATGATGTTGTCAATTATTACCATTTAACTACATGCGATGTCTTATACTTTCTGTGTATAAAAATGCCACAAAATCTCTTAACCATAACGGTAAAACAAAAAATATGTTCCGAGAGTTCAATTAACCAAATTCATTGAAGTTTTAGAAATTGAAACAGACATGGTGACTTTAACTCCTGATTCTCTAACCCTGAGTCACAGTGAACAACATAAAGACGACACATGAAGAGCTTTCCCTTGTAGTGACTTTTTAGGCTCGTTGTTACATATTATGATGAATCATCATTTCAAACACCCTGATTTTACTAAAACCATCTAACCGTTTAATATCAGAAGGGAGGAGACCAAGCCATCTAATAGCTGGAACTGTGAGATTATGGGCTTCAAAAGACATCGCCTAAAATAAAGAACAAAGGTACATTTTTGAGGCTAAAATGCAGAAAGCTAGCATACTTGTTTGTGCAGCCTAATTTTTTACACATTAAGAAAGACGAGTACTAACGACTTCACATGCCCCGAGCCTATGGAACTAAGGAAATCACCAAGAGTTTTGCTAAACTGGGCTTTCAGTGAAGGTTTTAAAACTGCTCTAGTATTTCCACATTGGTTTTATATAAAGTGAAACCATAAATAACCTCTCTGACCTGCATTTATTGTTGTTTGTGGTTCTATATTTTAACATCTTGCTTCACTATCCCTTTTATCTCAGTATGTAGGTCATATACGTCAGGGATACTCCACGTGCATACCAGTGGTTCCCAAACTTTATCATGCAACAGAATCACTTGGGGCCCAACCCTAGACATTCCAATTCAGGACGCCTGGATGGGGACTGAGATACGCATTTCTAGCAAGTTCCCCGGTAATGCTAACACTGCTTGTCTGGGACCGTACATTGAGAACCACTGATATATGGTAGCTGGGGACTCCGGGGGTGGAATTTGGGGATGTTTTCATTTTACCATCTGGTGGGAGTGAAGGGAATGGGCAACGTCAGAATTCAAGGCTGTATATAACTTCCAGAGTTTATTTGGCAATGAGACGTTGTTGTTACGGTGAGGCCCCACAGTCACTAGAACAGGCTGGGAGAGCAGAAGATAGTAATGCCTCTTGCCAACAGCTAATCCCATTCTGTCATCTGTGGTCACATTTGGCGTGCCAGAAGCTGGAATCACAGCCACTGAAACAGAATGGCCTCAGACTAGGAGAGTAGCTCCCCTGTACATTTTGGGGGTCCTCAGCTAACAAGGGGCCAATACGTGGATACAACAATCACTCTGATGACTATGAACTACCTCAACAGTAGGAGAGGAAAAATACTTCTACTCACCATAGATCCATACTTATAGATGCACATTATTTCTATGCCTGTTAAAAGAAAGTTACCTTTACAATTAGTTTCTTTGTATATTGCAGGTTAGATCATCATCAACGCTATATGTAACATCTGTAATTCTTATTTTCACAGATACTACCAATAAAAAACTTATGGTTTGGCTTCCTATGGCAAAAATAGCAAGAAATTGCCTCACGTGATTAGAGTCATTAATTTTACTCTAATAACCATATTCTTTTACAATAATCTACGGAAGTGTTCTAAGAGCAGAAGAGCACAACTATGAATATTGTAAACAGGATTTAGTTAAGACAACTGCTTCCAAACATCCCCAACGATAAGTCACCATGTGGGTCGGCATCCACAAGAGTGAAAACAGGAATGTGAAACGTATCCCACAGCTTCTTGACTAAAAGTCTCGTGTTCAGATCAGGTACCCCCTTTCCCTAAAAGCAAGATTGAAATGACGCAACTTTAGTTCCAGCAGAAGAAAATGACAAAATCTTTTCCTTATTTTATTAATAATTTAAAAGTTAAAAAGTTAGAGTACTTTAAATTTCAGGTGGAAGACTGGTGTAGACTGTGAAAAAAATGCAGTCTACACAACAGAGGGAAAAAGGCCCACGTACGTTCCTAACTATGACTCTACTATCCCAGTCCTGGGAAATAATCCTAAGGCAACATTTCGGCAGAAACGGGAATGATAACAAGTCGGACACATATAAAGATGTTCACTGCGGTCTTATTCAAGATGACAAAAACTACCGCAAGTAGCCAAAACAGGTAACAACAGGGACACTGGGAGGCAGCGCTGCACACACCTCACGCTGCCTTAGTCCAGCAGGTGTCATGGATTACGCCAGTTTTGGTTTTCTTTTAAGTTGACTCACTTTTGAGAGAGAGAGAGAAAGTGAGCAAGGGAGAGTCAGAGAGAGAGAGAGAGAGAGAAACAGAGAGAACCCCAAGCAGGCTCTGCAGTGTCAGCACAGAGCCCTACACAGGGCTCGAACCCATGAACCCCGAGATCATGACCTGAGCTGAACTCAAGAGTTGAACACTCAACTGACTGAGCCACCCGGGGGGCCCTGATTATACCAGTTCATCAACTTCTCCCACACTACCCCGTAGCAGGAAGCTTACCCCCCTCTGCTAACTGATGCCTGTGGCCGCCTGTGTGTCATCTCAACTTCTGCGTATACTTCTGCGTTCTTGGCCGTCTGGGGCGCGTATATACATGTATGCATATATATGTATATAGAATCAGGCTCCCTTTGATGGAATTAATGCAATTACATGATATGCAAACCCACGGGAGGCATAACAGAGCAGCTCTTGTGCGTTCAGTCCTCTCCTCCCCGAAGCCCCAGTGTTACCATATCACAGTTGATGCCAGCGGTGGTAGGGGAACGGCGAGTAGGTGACTGAGAGCCTGTGTAAACTCGCTGTGTAAAATCGCTGGTATCTAAGAATTGGGAGCACTACCTTGATTTCAGTCAGATTTGAGGATGCTTAAATAAACACACTGGGGTGCACCTGCGTGGCTCAGGTCACGATCTCATGGTTGGTGCGTTCCAGCCCCACGTGGGGCTCTGGGCTGACAGCTCAGAGCCCGGAGGCTGCTTCGGAGTCTGTGTCTCCCTCTCTCTCTGCCCCTCCCCCACTCACGCTCTGTCTCTCTCAGAAATAAACATTGAAAAAATCTTAAAAAATGAAAAAAAAAATAAACACCTTGGAAATTTTTACTCTACAACCATAAAAGATACACCATATTGCTGACAGAACGTTGAGCAAGCTGCACAGATGTTATAAACCCCTCTGGCCAATCCCCAAAGTAGCGTGCTAGCCTTGGAATTGAGGTCAAGGTAGGTAACATACCGTAACCATAATGCACGGAGACATCCTGTTGCAAAAGTTGTCATCCAGGAGTCGCTGAAAGGTCGCATCTTTTTCCACAATTAACAGAAATTTTGCATCTGTAATTATATCTGTGACATTAAGGCTGATAATTTGAAGGGAGGAGTATTGCAATTTAATCACCAACTAAATAATGATGCCACATAAATCCATTCCAAAGCAGCTATAGATATAGTATTTTCCTTTTTACCCTCAACTATATAGGCCTATTCACATATTTAGATATCTGTCTCTCCTACTAGTTGGGGATCTCCTAAAAGAATCGTAAGGCAGAAACCATGTGTGTTCATCTTGACCACGATAGGGTCTAGCTTGATGGTTACACATTATGAAGGCTTGGTCTATCAAATGAATGAATGAATGCTCTATGAGCTTAACTAGTTTCCCCACTCAAAGGATACTTCGAATACCTTGAATATTAGATGGCACGGCAACAGCCTAAATAATAAAACAAGATAGCTTTTATTTTAAATAAAAAGCAAGTATAACCACATTCAAAAAATTTATCACAGAAGCCCTACATTTTCATTTTCCTCTGGATATACCAGGCATCAGAGGTTTACTCCTCAGAAAAGAAACAGTAGGAAACAGATACACTCCTCAGTAAGAAAACAGACACGCCACTCAAACTACTTCCTTGCAGGTGAGAATCTCTTGGAAGCTTTGTGGAGATCTGGCTTAGGCAGCAGAAAGGTATGAAATTTAAGGCCTCCTTCTCTTAGAGCGCATGAGTGTCATCTTGTGTGTTTCTAGACTGCTGTGCATGCTAGTGCTGTGGGCTTTCTAGGTGCCCAAGCCTAACAAATAGTTTAGCATTAAAGGTATCAATTTAAGAACCAGAAAACTGTGTAAAGATTACATAAAGAATCATGCTAAGATAGCCAAGCTACGTTCTACCTGAAAACAAAGGTACATTTTTTTTTTAAGGAAAGCGTATCTTTGTTTATTTCACTATGACATTGGACAATTGGCGTATTCTGAAACTATGTAATGTGCAGGCCCAGAAAGCATATGCCTACTCACCATTCAGTTTTATTTGAAAATCTTAAACTCCAAACTACATAAGAAAGCAGGAAATAAAGCACATTTCAAAAACAAAGGATCCACAAGGGAGTTAAAGCATGTGAAAATATCAATATGCTTACTGTTGTACCACAGGTACAGTGCACTTTGGTCCCGTCTTCCTCGATATACCTTAAGTTGCCAGCAATTAAACCTTTTGACGTGGATGACTGAAAAAATAATAGCCATACTTGAACACTTTTTCACTAACATATTTTATACTGCTAAGTCAATCCTCATGCTCACCCACCTGACTACATGTGTTTTAGCTCTGACTGGAATTTAAGACGTGAAGGAGAAAATACATAAGGTGTTTAGGCATAAAAAATATTTAGTAATTCACCTGTTTTGGTCCATTCATCCAAGGAAATATATTGAGAGTCGATCATTTAAATTCATAGTGAGAAAAATGTAGTACCAAATAATATCAGAAAAAGGCACAGATTACATTTATTTTTCTATTATAATTTTACACAAACTTTTATTTTTTTAAGTTTATTTACTTATTTTGAGAGGGGGAGGGACAGCAAGAGAGGGAGAGAGAGAATCCCAAACAGGTTCCATGCTGTCAGCACAGAGGCTGACATGGGGCTTGATCCCACAAACAGTGAGATCATGACCTGAGCTGATACCAAGAGCTGGACGCTTAACCAACTGAGCCACCCAGTGCCCCGCAAATCTTCTATTTAAAAAAAAAAAAGTTTTGTGTTTAATGGTACTTACGATATGTAGACTCATCCTCGGCACTTTTAACATACAAGAAATGTCATTGATAATATTGTCCACAACCGTCTGGTTACCAAAAAGTTGGCTGTCAGTATAATATATGTCTCTATGAAAATTAAATATATATTTTTAATTAGCCATGCTCTCTTTGGAGTATTGGAGTATTATTTGCAGGAAGCTTCAATTGGATGAAACACAACATATAAAGAAAGTAATTTTTTACCCACAGTAGACTGTGGCTCTTATGTACCATTTCAAAACATAATAGGAGTTAATCTAAACTAACTCTCACATTGTGTCTTAGCAATTTACCAAAACAAGTATTTACCTTTTGGTTGCGTGAGTGTTGCTCTGTACCAATTTATAAATTATGGACAATATTTTAAGAATGAGAGCTGCAAGATAAGGTGCAACAAACAAGTTACTCATCATTTCTCTTATTAATTCAAAACATACTGCTATCAAAGATTTCAACTGCCCCCTGTCACTATCCATGACATTAAAAAAACTGTCATTCCAAAATAGAAGTATTGAGTACAGAATAATAATTTCCTGAAGCATCAGATAAAATGAATTGCTCTCTGAACAGCAAAACCAAGAGAACACTTTTTCACTGATTCATGTACCTTGTAAATCTATTTGGAAATTATAATCTATTTCCATGGTTATTGACAATGCAAGCTTCGGTAACTCTACTTCAGGTGTAAGGGTGGTCTATGAAAGAACAACTAAAATTATTCAACTAGGAGCAACTGAAACCCAGAAAACAACCAAACTTATTCATTACTAAAAGCTAAGAAAGATTAATTTACCAAAATTTTTAACTGATTTTGGTGAATCACTTTTGATTTTTCTCCTGGTACAATGAGGGACCATCTGAAGACCCACAGAATCTTCAAACCTGTCATTTTGTTGAAAGGTAATAAAATAAAAAAAAAATAATTAACTTCTAATCACCAAACAATATACACTTAGTGTCCTCTTCCGCACATAATCTAAATCTTTATTTCTTCTCAGCAGAAGCTTTAGGACAACTTCATTTATAACCTTAGAGAATTCCAAGTGTTAATTAGGTAATTAGCTTTGCGACACACAGAGGTACTAAAATAAAGTGTTTAAAATACGTGAATTAAGTACCTTTAAGTATAATGTGTGTATTTCTTTCCTGGGAAGACATCAACTGTATGTAAACTATTTTCAAATATTTCACAATTTTATTAGCATTTTTGCTTATTTTGCCCATTTAATAATTTTGCTCAATTTAACAAGTTTTGAAATATTGTATTCCTGATTTATCCCCAAAGTTACACTAAATGAAATGACAATTTGTGTTAGGTGGTTACACTGAACTGCCAGGCCTGTCCTAAAGGTGGCAGAAGGGCACCAGGCAAATAGGCCAGGTCTCCGCTGCTTCTGGACTCGATGAAACCTCTCTTGCAAAATGATGTAGAATGTGATTCAGAAGTTTATAGTTTGTATTAATTAATGACTGTAAAAGAGCATTTAGTGAGTAAGGGGACCCCAAATTACTTTTATTCTGTTTCTGTAACCCTTATGAGAGCTACCACAGTGCTTTTTGCTATTTAGATTCTACAGGCTGAGCCCCTGAAAAAAAAAAAAAACAAGCTATGTGAGTAGGTCAGAAGGCTTTGACAAAGTTGTTTGCTCATTTTAACCTCTCGGACACATGACTTAGCAGGGGGGAGACCAACCAGGAGGAAGAGCCTCTGAAGTGTGCTCTAGGTTCCAGATACATTTATTTTCATTTCAGTATCAGGATTGGTTGTAGCTCCCCTGAGCAAGCAGTTCACTTTTACAGTATTTTTGCAGAATCCCCCTGGTGGTGTTTCCCCGCTTTGAGTGCTAGAAAAGCTTAGATCCAAGTTTGGAGCCTATTTTTAGCAGGACTGTAAGACTTCATCATATGCGTTTTGACTTCTAGCCTCTTTTGGTGCTTCCTTCATGGCTCCTAGCATTGTTTCCCTTTGCCTTACCTTCCACATCTACTTCTGGTTTAAATGACCTGCCTACGACGTACGTGTTTTTGTAAGCACCCTTAAATCCTTCCAGGAAGGGTAAACACGGTAAAAAGAATGAAATCGGACTAGAATTCTAACTCGAGTAAATTAAAATAATGACATAGATAACTGTATTTAAAAATTAAAAAGGCAACATGCCCACTTTATATTTTCCCAGCTCGATCTGTTGTCTATTGTGAACACGGGAGCTTTATTTCTTGCCAGGCTGCTGATGACGTCTTGAATAACACTTTCTATAGATGCAAGAACCTCAGAACTGAAACAAGAAACACATTATGATTCAATCTTAATTCTAAATTAGGCCTTTTACAACATGTACCATTCCCCCAGATCAACACTAAAGTAAGTTCTTGTCTCCTTGATTGTTTTTTAAGACAAGGTAATTTCCCCTCTATACCGCTCTCTCCCGCTTTTGACATCAGCACTGCATTAAAACAACTGTATGGATAGCGGTTACTTACAGAGAAATTTCATTTGCTTGTAATTTTACTTCCCAAATAGTTACAACTGAACTAAAATCTCCCTTTTAGACAGTGTTAATGACTAGACAATAGAATTTATAAATATATTTTACATCTCGTCATATTAACCTACTTAAATCCAAACTTGTTGGCTTGAAATACTGCTGATAACTGTTTTAATTAAAAATGATAGAATATTGGCTTTGAGTTGAATTTCTTCCCCAAAAAATGCAATGCAAAAACATTCCAAAAGCAATATTTGTTGTAGCACATCGCCCTGATTGATCTCATGCCTTAAATCTGCCCTTATGAATTTTAGTGATAGAAAGAGAAAAAAGTTTAATCACTACCATGAAAAGACTTGGCAAAACCATTACACCACTTTAGAGCAAAATATTAAGACTTAGCCCAGTTTTCTGTGAGCTGACTTTTAATTTCACAAGCCATCAGCTTCAAAAAAATGTTGTTCGGTTATAAATACCATTAGCGTGCTGCCTAAGAAGGGAGATCAAATTAAATGTAGAAAATGGGCAAAATGTAGAATGTTCTAGTTTCCACAGAAACTTCAGAGCTTGCTTTGAAAATGCACAAATCAGAAAGTAAGTTTCAAAAGAATCAGTATTTTCTAACATGGGGAGAGAAAAACGGACTCACATATCTCATTCATTTTTCCAGTTTGGGGGAAAAAAAAAAGTTGCAAGATTAACGCTGTGACAAACCTGAAAATACAATTAGATTACTTTACATCGCGACCGTAAACACGGGACTTCCATACCCTCCTTCCCCTCACCCTCACTTCTCTCCCAAACTCATTTCATAAAAATTGGTTTGCTTGTAGGTATTCCACTTTTGTTGTTGTTCGTTTTGTTTTGTTCTGTTTTGCTTTTGGTAGTCAGCTTAGTCTTAAAAATATGCCGGTAATTTGTTTAGGCTGAAAAACTTTGCGAGGGGGACCTGGACGGCTCAGTGGGTTAAGACTCTGACTCTTGATTTCGGCTGGGGTGGTAACCTCATGCTTCATGGGATCTACCCGTGCGGTGGGATCTGCGTTGCCAGCGTCGAGCCTGCTCGGGACTCTCTCTCCCTCTCTCTCTGCCCCTCCCCCTCCTCTCAAAACAAGTAAACATCGAAAAACAAAAACAAAACAAACTTTGCCGATAAACCACAAAAGCCGACCTAGGAAAAGAACAACAGAGCACTTTAGGCAAAAACGATCCAGAACATAGTCTCTATAGTTCATTCCAAGTTGAGTAGCTGGAGACGCTCCGTAATGATTTCATCAACACCTCACTCTAACCAACTAAGCCAAGCCGCCAACTGCTTTGATTTTCATTGAGGTGCGAACATCCCCTCCACTTCCAAGTTAAGTAAATCCTTGTCGTAGCATAAACACCTTCTCGTTCACTTTGCAAAAACCCCCTAATTGAGCGGCAACTCCCAACATTCATGTTCCCTTTCTCTTCCCCACCCCCACCCCCACAATCCTGAAAGCTTTTTAGGTTAAAATGCTCTCAAAAAAAAAAAAAAAAAAAAATTTTTTTTTTTTCCTAACAAAGACAAAGCCAAAGTTTAGGTCAGCCTAAACTCCTCGACTGCAGAGAATCTTAGGAAACCTGCGAGCCTAGCTGTGGGGACGCTCCTGGAACATTCTAGATGGCGAACATTCTAGAAAACAAGGGGGGAGGGGCTCTGTCACGAGGCTTTTTGAGTTCAAAATGAGAGCTGAGAGCGGAGGAGATGGAGCGCTGCCGAAGGACTTCTGTCAGGGTTCATGGGTGGCCTGTGAAGGAGGTCGTCCTGCGGCCTCAACACCTCAACATCTCAAGGGAGAAGGGAAGGGGCACCAGCCACGTCCCTCCGGAGCGCCTCACGCCCCCACCCCGGGGCGACTGGGGACCCCCGGGGACCCCGCTGCTAACCGCCCAGCCTGCGCGCCCCGCAAGGAGCCCTTCTACCTCGAGGCCAGGCGCGTCCCCCCGTCCGCGGGCTCCCCACCGCCTCTCCTCAGGGCGGCCAGCAGCGAAGCCCTGTGTTGGTCCAAAACCTCGAAGAACGAGGCCTCAGGCCCCACCGGCGCAAACGCCATGGGGGTCAACAGCGACAGGAAGCGCCAAGCGCAGGAACCCCACCAGCGCCCGCGACGGCCCTCCCTGGTGCTTGCTGCGCATGCTCCCTGGCGGCGCGTGCCCTTGGTTGGCTTTCTGACTGGGGCTGCGCATGCGCACTGTCGGGCAGGCGTATAACGACTCTCGCATGCGCATAATGACTTTCACGGAGTTGAATTCGGAGGCGAGCAGGGCTCGTTCGCGTGCGGTCCCACCTCGGGAGGCAAAGTGATGGGCCCGGTAGGGACCCGTGTTTGGACTGTTGGACCCGGTTTTCCTTGAAATGGATTTATGGGTTATTTGGGGGGAGGGTGGTATCTAGGGAAAATCGTACCAGCAGTTTTTCATTAAAAGAAATAGTTCTGGTGATCCACCTGTACACCAGATACAGTGCTAGGCACTGGGTTCAGCTGTGATCAGGGCAAACAAATCTCCTGGCCTTACTAACATTCATAGAGCAGCCTCTTTCTTAATTCTCCTAACCATCCCAGGAGGTTCCTGATGTGGTCATGGCGCTTTAGCAGGCGAGGAGGGAGTGAGGTTCACAGCTCAGTCGGGCTACGGTAACATCCCAGCTCGATCACTTGCAAGGATCGCCAGGTTTAGCAAATTGAAATACAGGACGCTCCGTTAAATTTGAATTTCAGATAAACAACAAATACTTTTTTTTTTTTTTTAAAGGATAACTAGGTCCCATGCCATCTTTGGGACATACTCTTACTAGAAGTTTTCCGACATTCAGTATTTCATCTAGCAATCCTCACATTGGACCACACCCTTGCCTGGCAGATTGGAGATTGGTGAGTTGCGTCTCCCCCCCCCCATCCCCCCACCCTCTCTTGAAACCTTTGAGCAGAAGGACTCTTGATTCAGGGGGAATGGTGCCTTTGAGAGAGAGGACAATGGGGAGAGACCCTAAAGCAAGGTAGGTCCCAGGCCTCTGGGGGCCTGGTCCTACATGGATGGGAGCCTGAGGGCTTTGCCACGGAAGAGCCACCTGACCGCAGGCCCGCTCCAGAAAACACTTTATTCCCTCACTTGCTGGGTATTTGATAGTTTTGAAACTAAAACTGCTTTGCTGTCAGAAATGACAATGAACTCCCTCTGTTCATAATGGGCACTGAACTGAGGGCCTTTGTTATTCTTATTATCACAAATACTTCCTTACTGCCTGCCCTGAGCTAGGAATTGTCGGGAACTGAGGACACTGCTGTGAACAAGGCAGGCAGAGTCCTTGCCCTTTGGGAGCTCACCATCTAAGGAGAGGATAAATAAGTGAACGCTTGAGTAATCAAGTCGGCAGGGTGCGTTTAAATCAACAACGCTAGGGGCGCCTGGGTGGCGCAGTCGGTTAAACGTCCGACTTCAGCCAGGTCACGATCTCGCGGTCCGTGAGTTCGAGCCCCGTGTCAGGCTCTGGGCTGATGGCTCAGAGCCTGGAGCCGGTTTCCGATTCTGTGTCTCCCTCTCTCTCTGCCCCTCCCTCATTCATGCTCTGTCTCTCTCTGTCCCAAAAATAAATAAACGTTGAAAAAAAAATTAAAAAAAAAAATCAACAACGCTAAGAGGTAAAAATCATTACCCCCATTTCACTGAGGAAGAAACCGAGGCTTGGGGAGCCATCAGTTTGTGCAAGATTGCACTCTGGTATCTAACAGGGGTGAGAGCGAAATCGTGACCCCGAATTCAAGCTTTTTATCATGGGGACAGGAGGCACCACTACAGGTCTGGCTGGGGAATGTGTAGTGTAATTTGTAGAGGCTTCTCTGGTGACAGAATTACCCCGCTGGCCTCCGTTTTCTCCACTTTGAGATGAGGGCGGTGCCACAGGTGGGCTCTAATTTATCATCCCCAAACGAGGAAGAAACAAAAGGCCTTTGAAGGGAGAGGGCAAGTCAGTGACACCAGCTAGGCTTGTCTGCTGGGAAGTGCCTCTCTCCTGGGACTAGAACCGTCTGTCCAGCTGCCTCTGGCTCTCGTGAGGACAGGCCATTCTGTATCACAGAGCGCTAGGCTCAGCCAGGAGCCGGCGGCCTCACCAGATCTATGGAAAGTCCTGAGCTGGGCAGGGGCACGGGGAGGGGAGGGGATCGACACGGAGAAGGGAACAACCCATAGTAAACTTGGCATTCCTGCGGGGAGAAACCACAAGGGGCAGACTTGAAAGGCCTCGCTGTGTTCCCACCGCGGCAGACCAAAGCGGGAGGCGTTAGCTGTCTTTGCAGGAGGCTTTCAGGTATCCGGCCTGCACTCGGGCGACTTGCCCTGTGCCCACCACCTCCACATCAAAGTCACCTAGCCCAGCCCCGGGGCCCTGCGAGGAAACCAGAAAAACAGATTCTGCCCCTAGCAACGGATCGCAAATGAAACCGGGCAAATGCCCTTTGCGCGTTGCGGGGCAGTCTTGGTATGGGGTTCTGCCTACCTGCTGGCCAGCTGTGCTCGGCACAGGGACAGAGAAGGGTCACAAAGCCGCACTCAAGCTGCTCTTGGGAAAATGAAAAGCTTTCCCCCTACACCCTACTAGTGGGCCTTTCCTCCGAACCCAACCTGACATCCGGAAGCTTGTCTGAGGGCCAGAACCTCCAAGTGGGCTGGAAAGGAGCATTATTTAAGTCAGGCACAATGATTGTAGGGAAGGATGGGGAGGCCTTTCTAGCAAACTGGACAGGAGACGATGCCCCACTTGTTACGTTTAAGCAAGGTGGCTGCTTCAGCAGCTGTAAGTGGATTTTAACATCATATAGAGTGTTGAGGAAAAAAAAAGTAAATTCCACAATAATGTCTTTATTTGGGGGGCTTTATCAGGTGTTTTTATTTTGTATGTATGGGTTTTTTTCCGCTTTTAAAAAAATTATAAGAAGGATATATGCTTTTCGTAAAATATTTACATAATTCAGAAATTACAAAATGAGAAGGGTTTTCTTTTTTTCATTATTTTTTTATTAATTTTTTTTTTAACGTTTATTTATTTTTGAGACAGAGACAGAGCATGAACGGGGGAGGGTCAGAGAGAGAGAGAGGGAGGCACAGAATCTGAAACAGGGTCCAGGCTCTGAGCTGTCAGCACAGAGCCTGACGCGGGGCTCGAACTCATGAACCGTGAAATCATGACCTGAGCTGAAGTCGGACGCTTAACCGACTGAGCCACCCAGGCGCCCCTGAGAAGGGTTTTCAATTAGCAATAATTGCGCCTCGGATAAACCTCGTTGGCTACAATACTGCCCCCCGCGCAGAGCCTGAAGGTATGAGATGAAAGTGAAAGGAAGCCCCTCTCCCAGCATCTACTCACTGCAGTACCTTCATTTGTCCTACTAGGCACTCTGCCCTCCTCCAGACCCTGGAAGGATTCCTTCTCGCCCCGGGGCCTTTGCACATGCTCTCTAGCAGTTTGGAATGTTTTGTCTTCTCTCCTACTCTCCGCCCTCCCTCCCCTAAAGCCAGCTTTGCTAATTCTCCTGTATCCTTCAGATCTCCGTCTGGATCTCCCTGGACCACCCCCAAGTCTTGACCCTTGGTGCCCCCTGTCTCCACATGCCTGCATTCCTCTACCCTGTCAACCCCAGGGACTGAGCTCATCCGGTACCCCACAGTCCCACTGTGCCTGGCACACAGAAGGCACTCCGCAGTATTTGTGGAGCGAATGAATGAATGATCCCTTGCGGGATTCTGTCTGTTATCTACTTGTAGTATTTCTGTACATCTTTCTGCACATGCCCACATAAGCATCGTTTTTTATATGAATAAGACCCTACATTCTCCTGGGATTCTGCCACCGGCCATAATAATAACTGCGGTTTGCTGATGCTCAGACCCTGAGCCGAACTCCATGCACGAAATCTCATTTACTGCCTTTCATTGTATGGGGAGAAAGTCGAGGCTCAAAGAAGTACAATCCGAACTCCTGGCTTCACAGAGGCATCTGGCAAAGCTCCGATCCGACGAGAACAGTGTCTGTGCTGTGAGCTACTATATGCTATTGCCTCAAAGTCAAGGTAATTTGGTGCTGATGAACGGATCCGTTCATTTTTCGTAGGCAGGGTGATTCTAGAACAGGATATATGATGTCAAGCCGATCAATACAAGGAAGATGATGCAAATAAGATCAGCAAAATATTCGTGAGCATGTGGGTTATCTTACTGATGAAGGCCTGGAAGTTGTTTGTTTGAGAAAGAGACTGTGCTGTAATATGTACCCCCAGGGACCCAGCATGAGCTCCTGTGACTCTGGCCAAACCTTTCCATCTACGTCCACCCCCTTCCCAACCCTCCCTCCAGATTCTTTGGAAGCAAATCCTAGGCATCGTATTATTTCATCTTCAGTATTTGAATGCGCATCTCTAAAAAATAAGGACTCTTTTAAAAATAACTAGAATCTGGGGTGACTGGGTGGCTCAGTTGGTTAAGCATCTGACTTCTGCTCAGGTCACGGTCTCATGGTTCGTGGGTTCGA